GCCGCGGGCGGGCGGCCCGGCCGCCCGCCCGCGGCCCCGGACGGGTCTCCCCCCGCCCGCCCGCCCGCCTCACCTGGTCCGGGGGGCAGCAGCACCCCGAGCAGCGGGAGCAGCAGCGGGCCCACCGGCGGCCACATCTCGTCGGCGGTCTGGAAAGTGAAAGAGCGCTGGGCTGGGCGCGCCGGGGTTTTCCGCTCCGTGCCATGCGGGGGCTGGCCAGAAGCGAGCGCCCGGCCGGCTGGGAGGCGCGTGGGCGCAGGCCGCCCCCGCTGCCACCGGCCTGAAAAGCGGGCGCGGGGGGCACAGGCACCCCAGCAGGGCCGGCCCTGCCGCCCCCCGCCCAGCCCCCCCTCACGCTGCCCAGTGGCACCTCGAGGCCACGGGTCCGTGGCCACGGGGCCCTCACAGCCAGGAGACTTCCTGATGTCCAGCCGGAACCTGCCTTCTGGCAGCTTGAGCCCATTTCGGTACTCGTCCTGCAAGGCATCGGTCGTTGATCGAGTTAAAGTTCCGAAAAACCTTTTGCTCGTCCCAGTTACTCACAATGCAAGGTTTTACTGTACTCCCCTCCTGCACTCGGGGGATCGGGAAGAGGGCTTCCCACTTCGCGAGGCAGAGGGCTGCCGTGCTTCCCCTCCTCCTCCTCCTCCTCTTCTGGAGGCGGACATGCCCCGTTCTGTCAATTTCCCTCAGTCCCCGGATCATCCTCGCAGCCTCTGAACCGTCCCAGCTTCTCTGCATCCTTCCTGGAGGGCACAGGACTCCAGATGAGGCCTGACTAAAGGCAAACGAATATGCAGCCAAAACGAGCCTTTGACGTTTCTGCAGCCACAGCACATCGGGAGCTCCTGTTTGGCTTGTGATCCAGGACATGGAAACAGAGAAACAGAGAAACAGAGCGAGTCAGAAGGGGCCTCCTGGTCCATCTAGTCTGACCTCCAGCACCAGCCGGCTCCGCTCACGACATGCCCACCATGTGGACGTCCAGCTTATCCTTGATCACCCGCACCGATGGGGCCTCAACGACCTCCCGGGGAAGCCCATTCCACACCCTCAGGGTCCTTGACTGTCAGGAAGTGCTTCCTGGCATCCAAATTGAACCTGGGTTCCCTGAGCTTGGCTCCGTGGGAGCGCATCCTGCCTTCCTCTGCAGGGGAGAACAGGCCTCTCCCCACCTCCGTGTGACACCCCCTCACGTACCTGTATGTCGCCCACAGGTCCCCTCTGAGTCCCCTCTTCCCCAGGCTGAAGAGACCCAGTTCCCTCAGCCTCGCCTCATACGGCATCCCCTGCAAACTGGCCACCAACCTTGTGTCCCTTCGCTGCACTGACTCCAGCCTGGCCATATCCTTTCTGTAATGAGGGGCCCAAAACTGAACACAATACTCCACTTGCGGACAACTCCAAGATCCTTCTCCTTTGCAATCCTGTTGAGTCAAGTATTCCCCAGTTTGCAGCATTGCCTTTCACTTCATTTCTGAGGTGCAGGACGCAGTATTCGTCCCTGTCGGATTTCATTGTACTTCTCAGCCAGCCTTCTAACCCGTCAAGATCACCGTGAATCAGCTGAGCCGTCTTCTGGGGTGCCGATCATTCCACCCAGCCCTGCAAATCTGATTGCTGTTCTCGGCACTTCCTCATCCAAACCGTGAATAAAACTGCTGAAGGGCCCCGGGGCCAGCACACCGCTGGTTCCTTCCCCATGTGAGAACACGCCACTGAGGAGTCCCCAAATCCAGTTCCATCCTCAGCTGCAGATCCATCAGCAGCTACTCCATGGGGCCCACTTGGCTGGTTTGGTAATCAGGATATCGCGGGGCGTGTTGTCAAAACCCAACGCATACCGTGTCCACGTATTCCCACAGTCTGCCGGAGAAGCTGCCCAATTTTGAAAAACAGAATCAAATCGGCCTAGTGGGATTTGCTCTTGAGAAATCCACACTGGCTTCCGGCAACCCGCTCTCTGCACCCTCCCCAGCTGTGCGCAGGGAGGGGTGCAGGTTCTCCCTGGGGCGGCCACCCTGGCAGGCGGGACACGGGCGGCGAGGGGCCCTCGGAGGCAGGGTGGGGCGGGCGGGGACGCCTTGGCGACTGGTGTCCCCACAGCAACTCCCTGCTCGTGGATGGGGAGGCGCTGGGTGGGGCACCTGCCCCACCTGCTGCGTTTGTGACATCACTGGCCAGGGCTCCGTGAGGCCACGGCTGCGCACGGGCCCCTCCCACAGTCGCAATGGGATGCCCCCGCTTCTGGGCACAAGCCCCGAGCCTCCTGCTGCCGCCGCTGCTGCCGCTGCTGCTCCAGGGCCTTGGAGCGTGGGCACAAGGTACCGCCAGAGGGGCCGCCGGGGGGTGCGGTCCTGTGCGGCAGCACCCCTGCCTTCCTCCCGCCTCGCGGGGCCGCCCGGCCCCAGAGCCCCCCACCGCCCCGGCCCCTCTCTGGCCGATATGCCCTGTGCCGTCCAGTCCGGGGCGACAGCGGCATGCCGCTGGTGGGGGAGTGAGGCAGAGCTGCGCGAGGCCCTGGGGGTCACGCCGCTTCCGTCTCCTGTCCCCCCCACCTCAGGCTGCGGCTACCGGCCCCACTTCGACGGGCCTCACCCCTCCCTGGTGGGGGTCTCCCGCATCGTGGGCGGCTCGAAGGCACCCCCTGGGAAATGGCCCTGGGTGGTCAGCATCCAGAGCAGCATGTTCCACTTCTGCGGGGGATCCATCGTGCACCCCTGGTGGGTGCTCTCGGCGGCACACTGCTTCACCGACAGGAGGTAGCTTCGGCCAGGGCCCCGGGGCATCGGGGGGGGGGACAGAACTTCCCCGGAGGTCATCCCCAGCACTCCTCCGTAACCTCACAGCAGCTGGGGGGCCCTGCCGGCCCGCCCCCTGGACCCAGCTGCCGGTCTTGGCCCACCCGAGCTTGGCCGGGATGGGAGCGGGGAGGACACGCCGCTTCCTCTGCTCGGAGGTTTGCGTGTTCCCACAGTGCTCCACCCGGGAAGGCAGAGCTGCGGGCTGTCCTGTGCCGGCAGCTCCACTCGGGGGGGCTCCAGGAGCCCCTGGGGGGAGAGCCCCTCTCTGGCCAGCACGACCTCGCCTTGCAGCCCTGCCAAGTGCCCCTTGATTCTGCTGCGCTGGTTATTCCCGGCCACGAAGCTCCCCCGACGATGCCCGAGCAGCAGAGCTGCACAGCAGCAAAGGCACGGGGTGGGGGGGCCGGCCGGCCCGGCCGCTCCTGAACGGGAGTGCCCCCCCCCGCAGGAGCGGCATCAAGATCGCGGCGGGGAGCAGCTTCCTGGGGCGGAACAACGTGACGCGCTGGGTGCGGAAGATCCACACGCACCCGCAGTACAACCCGCGCACCTACGACCACGACATCGCGCTCCTGCTGCTGCAGCGGCCCGTCCCCTACAGCCCCTACCACAGCGCCCTCTGCCTGCCCGACCACGCCGTGGTCCCCGACGAGAACATGTGGGAGAGCTGCTCCGTGGCCGGCTGGGGGCTCACGCAGCCCGGTGAGGCTCCCCCGCGCCCGGCGCCCGCGCCCGCTCCCGGAGGGCGCCCCGGAGGTCCTGCGGCGCTCGCTGCGCACGGGCGCCAGCCTCTGCCCACCCCCGGGGCCAGCGCTCCCGGAAGGGCCGCCGCCCCCCTCCCCGCGGCCGGGCCGGGGGTCGCGCACGGGCTGCGCCGCTCTCCGGCCCGGCGGCCCTGCGGCGCAGTCCGCCCCGGGCCCACGGCCGCTTCCTCTCCGCCCGCTGCCAGGGGCGAGCCGCGGCTCCTACGCGCTGCTGGACGTCCAGGTGGGCATCGTGGACTGGGCGCTGTGCCAGGCGTGGCTGCACTCCGTCACGCGGAACATGGTCTGCGCGGGCTATGAGCAGGGCGGCCGCGACGCCTGCCAGGTAGGAGCCCGCTCGGGAGCGCCGGAGGGGCGCGGCGGCTGCGCTGGGCGAGCCGGAGAAGGCGCGGGGCGAGCGTGGGCGCCACTCGCGGCTGCAGCGTCCCGCTCCTGCCAGTTAAATCAGCTGGAGGGACCCCCGCACGGCCGCCCGGGGAGCGCAGAGCCAGCCGCCGGTGCCTCGGAGGGGCCCCGGCAGTGCTGAGAGAGGCGGCGGCCACGGCTGCCGGCCCGAGCCGAGCGGGATGCGAGGGCGTCCCCGAGCCCCTTCCTGCGCCCCGCGGACCCCTCCTCGCCGCGGCCTCCGCCTCCCCCAGCCCCTCTCCGGAGCCGACGCGTGTCTCCTGGAGGGCTGCTTCCGCGCGGCCCCCTCAGGCGCCCCCTCCCCCGTGAAGGGCGGCCCCCGCTCCCCGCCCCGCGCCTGCCCAGGCTGCGGGCGCCTCTGCCCGCTCCAGCCGGCGCGGTCCGCCCCACGGCGCCGGACGCCCCGCGCTCCGGAGCCCACGGGGGCGGGGGGCATGCCGGTCCTGCCTCCCCGGAGCCCGCGAGGGGCTGGAGCCTCTGCCCCCGGGCCGGCAGGGCGCCGCTCGGCTCTGCCCGCCCGCGCAGCCTCGCCTCCCCCGCCCTTCTTCTCCCGATGCAGGGCGACAGCGGGGGCCCGCTGATGTGCCGGCCCCCCAGCGGAGGCGCGCACCGCCGCTGGTACCAGGTCGGGGTGGTGAGCTGGGGCCGGAGCTGCGCGGCGCGGCGGAGCCCCGGCGTCTACACGCGCGTGGCCAACTACCGCTCGTGGCTGGAGCAGACGGCGGCGCACGAGGGGCGGCCCTTCCGCGTGCCGCAGTCGCCCCCCGGCCGCTCGCCGCTGCACAGGGAGCCCCCGGAGGCGGACGCCTCCCTCGGCCTCGACTGCGCGGCCGTCCCGCCGGCCCCGCGGGGTGCGCTGGGGGCGGCCGCCCTGGCCCTGGCCCTGCCCCGGCTGCTCCGCTGAGGATCTGCGGCCGTGCGCGGCGGGGGGGCGGGGAGCGGGACAGCGCGGGCGCTCTGGACTGGGGGGCGAAATAAATATTCTTGTTGAACCGCGGCTATTTTCTCTGGAAGGTGGGTGGGTTTTGCAGGCAGCAGGAGCTGTCAAAAGGACGGGGGGAGGGCGAGGTGGGGAGGGATCCGCGTGGTCATGGGTGGGGAGAGAAGGCGGCAGCCACTGTCGCCCCCAGAGCCAGCCAGTAGCTCCTTCCCCAAAGGGGAGGTGAGGAGACGGCCTGCTGGACGGCACCCCCTGCCTCCACCCCCCCATTCCCACTGGCAGGCCCGAGATGCGAGGGTGGTGTGCCCCCCTCCGCACAGCGGCCCACACTGCAGGCTCCGTCGCCAGGGGTGGCCACATGGCTCCGGGGGAGCTGCACGCGGGGGGGTCGGGGCAGCTCCTCACGCCCAGCTGCTGCGTCCTTCCGCCTGTGCCCCAGGGAGGTTGGGGCTGAGCGGGCGTGGGGTTCCGGGGGGGCCCCAACGGTCCCCGGCATCCCAGGCGAGCGGCCCAAGGAGAGGCGGGCTGCCAGCGGAGAGCGCGCTGCGTGGCCTGGGGACCAGAGCACACGACTCGGGAAGGGCTCCCGTGCAGAGTCCCCCCGCGATCCATGTGTGGAAGGGCCAGCCGGGGACTGCTCAGGGGCGCCCCGGAACGAACCCTTTCAACAGAAACCGCCCCTGTTGTGCCCATGGGCCTCCGGGCACAGGGCACGGGCCGCCTGGCCAGCAGGGCCTTCCATGCCCCCGGCCTAAGCGGAAAGCTGTCCCCCCCCACCCCCCGTGCCGTGCCTGCCAGCACATTGGCTTCCAAACAGGCGTCCCTCAGTCCCCTCCAGACCTGCAGCAGGCCGGCACAGGGAGCTCCCCAAATGGCCCTGCAGGGGCCCCCTCCCCCACCCCCTTGAAAAAGGAGCACCCAGTGGACCCAGGTGTCCGGGGGGGGGGAGGGATGAGCCAGAGTTCCGGAATGCCCGGCATCACACTGGCACCGGGAGACGCTCAGCTGTTTACCTTCAAAGTGCCGGTGACTTCAGGTACAGGGGAGGCTGCGCTCAGCCGGGGCCGGGGCCGGGGCCGGGGGGTGGGGTGGGGGTTCATGGGGAGGGAGCTGGGGCTGTCCTGCCGTGACCCCTCCGAAGTCCTCTGGGGACTGCAGTCCCACCAAGCGCTGCCGGCCACCAGGAGGGCCTCTGTCCCGGGCCCCATCGGGGGGCCCTGCTGCTCTGGACACCCAGCCCTGGAGCGGCTGTGCTTCTGCCCCCAGCCCCGCCCCCCCCGCCACGGAGGGCCTGCCGCACAGCCTGCCTCCCGCCAGCAGCTCCCTCGGCGTGCCTGGCAGCCCCGTGTCCCAGTAGCCAAGCGTGCAGCCCTGCGAAATTCTCCAAGCCAGACGATGGGGCTCGGGCCGCCTGGCTCACCTCACCCCGCAGCAGAGGGGCAGCCAAGCCCAGGAACCCGCGGCAGCTTGGGGCGATGCACAGGGCCCCTGGCTTTCCGGGGAACTGGCCCTCGGCCCTGGGGCCTCCTGGGGTCAGGCCCACTGCTTCAGCCGCTGCAGGCCTCGGCCTTTGGAAGAACTGACCGAGCAAGCTGGGGCTCATGGTGGGGGCCGGCCCACAAGACCCTCCAGTCCCCCTCTGGGCCAAAAGGCCCGCCCGGCTCATCCCAGAGCTTCTGGAGGGCTTCTCCAGAAAGCCCCTCTGCGGCCCTGAGGGGGGCTGGGCTCGGGGCAGGCGTGGATGGGCCACTTGTGGGCGGGGGGCTGGGGCTGCCACGGGCCGGGCGGAGAAGCCGCAGCCCAGGGGGAGCAAGGCACCTCTCCCGGAAGGGCTGCTGGGGCTGGGGCTGGGGCTGCCCTGGGGATCGCGGGCCTTCCCTGCCCGGAGAGCCCCCCACGTGGATGGGCGGGGGAGGAATCCGCTCTGCGCGCTCGGGGACCCCCGTCCGCACGGGGCCCAGCCAGGCACGGGCGGGCGGGCGGGCGGCTGAGGGCTGCCCGCTCCCCTGCAGGCATGGAGTTCCTCACGGGCTACCGTGCCGAGATCCTGGACTTCGCGGAGCTGCTCTTCGGCTGGTACCAGCGCTTCCTGGTGGACGCGGCCTGCCAGCGCGGTGGCAAAAGCCTGGAGGGCTGCATCCGGCGCCTGCCCCCCGACCCGGCCCTGTGGGTGCTGCACCTGCTGCCCAACCACAGCCTGGCCTTCGCCGTCGCCGACCCGGGCCAGCAGCTGGGGGGGCGCTTCTACAGCGAGGACGCCCTGGCGCTGCGGGACCTGGACCGCTTCATCACCTTCACGGACACGGAGGAGGAGGAGGAGCAGCAGCAGCAGCAGGCGGGGGAGGACCCTGCCAGCCTGGAGAGAGGTGGGGGGTCCCGGGGGGCAGGCTGCGGAGACGCGTGCTCGGCCGGCGAGTGGGGAGAAGTGGGCCGAGGCGGAGTGGCTGCCACCCGCGTCCCCCTGGTGAGCCTGGGCCCCGCCGCCGCTGAGCAGGAACCCTGCCAGGGCGGCCCCCAGAAGCCCGGTGCTGGCGCTTCCGCAGCCCCCCGGGACCCCCGCCAAGCCAGCCCCACCTCGGGTGCACCTGCCGCGGGGCGCGCAGGCGAGCGGCGCCTCCTTTGGGGGCCAGCCGGGGCAGGCGTGGGCCGGCTGACCGGAGGCCAGCGGCTCACGCCCTCGCTCCCCGCAGGCCACCCCCTCTGGCGCGTGGACCGCCTCCTGCTGGTGACGGACGAGCATGGCAGCATCATGGGCTTCGACTTCTTGCTGGGGGGCCCCCTGGGAGTCGCCGGGCAGGAGCCCCTGGAGGCCCGGGCCATCGCCCTCCTCTGCCAGAGCATGACCTGCCCGCTGGGGGCCGGGGAGCCACGCCGCCCCAAGCAGCTCACCGTGGGAGACCCCGCGCTGCAAAAGTGAGCGGGCGAGGCGGGCGGCGGCACGCGGGGCCGGGTGGCCGGCCTCCCCGCCCGCTCGGACCGCTCTCGCCCCCCACAGGTCCCTGGAGCCGCTGCTCTCCCGGCTGGGCGTGAAGCTGAGCGAGGGGCCGCTGCGGGGCTGGGGGCCCCGGCCGGCCTTCACCTTCCCCAGCACGCGCGTGCCGGCCTGCCACGTCTGCAAGCGGCACAGCTTCGAGGCGCACGTCGCCGCCTGGTGAGCTTGTTTCCACGCCGGGACTCCCTCCGGCACGCGCCCCCCGTGCCCCGCCAGGTGTTCCCACGAGGACACGGGGCCGTGCGCGCGCCTGGCTCCGCGCCGCTCACCCGGCCTGGCCGGCCCTCGCGTGGCGTCGCCGCGCCCGCCTGTGCCGGGCGGCACGCGTGCTCGTGGCCGGGGGCGTGCGGCTCGCCCACGCTGGCAGGGGCCCACGGCCGTGGCCTCGCGGCTCCGGCGCTCCGGCCGCCCTGCCCCTGCCCCTGCCGGGCCGCCACCGACCCGCCTCTGCCCCCGCAGCCAGCACTGCCGGGCGGTCCTGTACTGCTCCGAACGCTGCCGCACGCTGGACTGGAACCGCAGCCCCGAGGACGTCGGCCACCGGTTCTGGTGCCAGCGCATGGCCGGCTACATGAGCCGAGCACCTGAGCTGGCCGACCTGCCCTTCACCTTCGCAGCAGGTAGGGCGGGGGCATGGGCGGGCGGGGGGCCCTCACTCAGGTGGGGGTCGTGCAAGGGGGGTCGGAGGAGCGGGCGGAGGGCGGTCCCGGGACGAGGGAAAGCCGGGGCTCCGACCCCCCTGCTCTGCTCTGCTCTGCTCCGCCCCGCAGAGGCCACCAGCGAGACCTTCAACAAGGAGGGCTTCCTCTCCGCGCGGGGCCTGACCCGGGGCTACTGGGCCGGGGAGAGCATGCTGGTGCGGGCCCCCGACTACGGCGTGGGGCTGCGGCGGGGCTCCCGGCAGCCCGTGGCCTTCCTGCAGAGCGGTGAGAGCGCCCCGGGGCAGGAGGGTGGGTGCCCCGGATCCTGGGGGCAGCTGCATGGCCGGCCCCTCGGAGCCCCCCCTTGCGGGCTGTGGGTGCGGGGCAGGATCTCGTGTGCCCCTCGGGACCGCATGGGTCCCCGGGCTCTCCCTGGAGGACCCACAGCTGCCCTGGCCCACAGCGTGGGCCCCGGGCGGCCGCAGCTCCCTGCCAGCAGGCCAGGGGGCTCTCCACACCCAGCCCCTCTGGGCAGCAAGAAGGGGGGAGGCACTCGGGGGGCACGGCATGGCCCACCCTGAGCAGATCCCTCTCGTCCCACAGGGAACCCTTTCGAGGCGCTGCGGCCAGAAGGGGGGGTGGCGCTGCAGGCAGCCCCTCCGGAGCCCCCCACAGCCCGGACGTTCTTTGGTGAGAGGGGTCGGGGTCGGGGGGCGGCCTCCAGGCCACTGCGACGGCTCCACGTCTGACCCCCACGCTTCTGTCCCCCCACAGGTTCCTGGAAGGAGTACTACCAGTGGCGGGGGCTGTCGCTCAGCGCGCCCCCAGCCGTCATCCTGACCTACCCCCTGACCTTGTACTACATCATCACCCAGCTGGCCCCCCAGGACTGTGAGCATCGGCCCCACCCCGGGGGCCTGCTGGGCGGCCCCTCCGCTGGGCCGGCGCCCCTGCCCCGCTCTGACGGTCAGCCCGGTTGGGGCCGCTCGCGCAAGCGGGGCCCGCAGAGTCTTCGGGGCCCTGGGCGCACTGGGCCGCCCGCGTCAGGGTCCCCCCAGCACTCCCACCATGTGAGGCCAAAGCAAGCCCCCCAGGGAGCAGCTTCCTGGGGTGCTGGCCGTGGCCAGGTCCCTTGCCAGTGAGGCTGCGGATGGCCCGGGGGCTCCGGGGGCTCCCTGCAGGACCAGCCTCGGTGCCCGGGCGGTGGCAGCGAGTGGGAATCGTGTCCTGCAAAGGGGCTTTCAGGAGTCCCCCCCACCCCCCGTTTTCTCTCCCCTTCAGTTCCTGAGCTGAACATCCTGAACAAACAGTCCCTCAAGATCCACGTGGTGGAGACGGGCAAGGAGTTCGGGGTCCTGATGGTCTTCTGGGTAGGCGGGGGATTTCCGCCAGGGGCTGCAACGCAGGGACCCATGTGCCACAGGGCCCGGGGAGTGGGCCCCAGACCTGCACGCGGCCGCCCCCGCCGCTTCCAGTGCCTTCAGACCAAGCCCGCTCTGGGGCACTTCTCGTCCCTGACCAGCACCCCTCAGCCCATGGGCCTGGCAGGAGGGACTGTTCCGCCTCCCTGGGGGGACATGGCACTCCAGGGACCCCCACTGCGGCACAGGGGCCTGCCAGGAGCACCCTGGGGAGGTGCCACGTGCCCGCGGACAGCCACGGAGCTGCGCAGCTTGGGGAGGGGGTCGCCCAAGGGGGTGCTGTCGCTCCCACCCGCAGTGCGCCTGCCCCGGGGCCACACCGAGGGGCCCAGGGCTTGGGCTCCCCTCCCCCCGGAGCGCCTTCAGGGCTGGGTGGCAGCCTTGCCTGGGCTCGGGGGGGGGGGCGGGCCCTACTCCGCTTCATGCGCTGCTCGGGGAAGGCCTTGTGGGGGGCACCCAGGGCGCAGTCTGCCCCCCTGCAGCGGCCTGGGCTGGGGGGCGGCACGGGACCAGCGGCAGAGAGCCGTGCTGGGCCGCCCCCGGGGGCCCGGCAGGCCCCCTGTCCCCCCACCCCGCCTCCTGCATGCTCTTTCCTCCGCCCCACAGGAGCTGTCTGTGCTGCTCCCCCACGTCTCCCTGGAGCTGCTCCTTGTGGGGGACCTCGTGCCCCCCGAGCTGGACGGCCAGCAGTTTCTCTTGCAGAGAGATGTGAGTGCCCGCGGCGGGGGAGGGATGTCCCACCAGGGGCAGCCACTTATGTCCCAGGTGGGGGGGTCCCTCCCTGCACCCCCCACCGGTCTCCTCTGGTGGCCTCCCCACAAACTACAGGGCGGCATGGCCCCCCACAAGGCCCGGCTGCCATCGCCTGGCAGCGGCTCCCGGACGGCAGGACACCCCCCCCCGTCCTGCCCTGCCCCCATCGGCCCAGGCCCCTCTGGAGCCCCCATGCCCGCCCTGGAGCCCGCTTCAGGCCCTCCTCGTCCCCTCGCTCTGACCGCCCTTTCTCCCCACCCCCCAGGAGGTGCACGGCGTCTCTGTCCAGCCTGGGCTGGCCCCCCGCTCCAAAGGGGGCCGCCGCGAGCTGCAGCTGGGCTTCAGTGCCCGCCCGTACCACCTGCTGCAGGCGCCCAAAGCAGACCTGGTGATTGGTGAGAGGCGGGGGCGGGGCAGGAGAGGCCCCCTGGGTGGGGGGTGGGGTGGGGGCGGGGGCAGGGGCAGGGAGGGGGCCGCTGCAGGTTCCTGATGCCCCTTCTCCTGCTCAGCGTTTAACTCCGGGCTCGCCCTCAAGGAGACCTGGCGGAGTTCTCTGCCCCGGCTGCAGGTAAGACGCCTCCACGCGGCCAGGCCGGCCGCTGCCCCCAGCCCCACCCTGTGCCCTCCGGCCGGGGGCGGGAGCAGGAGGACAGGGTGCCGGGCTCGCCCTGCCCCTGAGCCGTGGTGCCGCCAGCCCGTTCGTGGCTGCGGTGCATGCGGCATCAGGCACGGCGGGCCAAAGCGAGGCTTCACCACAGCGGGAGGGAGGGAGGGAGGGGGAAACGGGCCAGGCGGCCATTCTAGCACGCCGTTTTCTCCAAAGAGGTGTACTTGGGTACAGCAAGATGCGCACGGCTTTGCTCAGACGACTGCTAACGATTTAGAGAGACGCGGCCTGAGGGAGTCCCGCCTGCACCCACCCCGCAGCGCCTTCCCCTCCCGCCCGGAGCAGATCTGGAGGGTGGGCAAGCACGGCCGTTGCGGGGTGGGCGCCCGAGGCCGGCCCGCAAGGGAGCCCCCGGTTCGGGCCTCAGCTCAGCCAGCCTGCGCGAAACGGCAGCCCGGAAGGTTCCTGCCGCGGTGGATCCAAGCTGACTGCGAGGCCGCCGTGCGATGCGGCCACAGAAAGGGCGAAGAGAAGCAGCACCTACAGGCCCCGTGGAGCACCCAGCGCCCCTGGCTCTGGCCAGGCCTCACTCCACTCGTGGGCCCCACAGTTTAGGAAAGAGGGCACAGAAACAGGAACAGGGCGAGGCAGAAGGGGCCTCCCGGCCGTCTGGTCTGCTCCTGACGCGCCCACCATGAAAGGCTCCAGAGGAAGGCAACGGGGGGATCCGGGGCCTGAGGTGAGATGGAACCAGCTGGGCTTTTCAGCCTCCGGAAGAGAAATCTGAGGGGAGATGGGACAGCGCCCCACAAGTCCCTGTCGTGAGGAGGGGGCCAGGGGCTCTTCTCGGCCCCTCTGCTCCGGAGCACAGCAGACACAATAAAGGGCTTCAGTTACAGGAACCCCGTTCCCGCTGGCCATCGGGAAAAGCGTCCTGATTGCTGGAGCGACGCCCGGAGGTCAGGCCATGGGGTCTCCGCCTGGGGGGCATCCCAGAAGCGGCCGCATGCCCACGGGCTGTCCCCTGTGGGGCCCAGGGGTGTCTCCCAGTGCTGCCGGCGCTTCCCCGGAAAGGACTGGAGCGCAGGATCCTGGACGTCGGTTTTGGGGGCCAGCTTTCCAGCCAGCCTTCAGCCTGCGGGGACGCCTCCTTCCAGGCGCGGGGCCTGCGTGGGGCGGGCCTTGGGCGAGCGGCCGTGCGGTGGCGAGGAGCACCCGCCGGGGGGCGGCGAGCCTCACATCTCCCCTCCCCCGTTGCTTCCCTCGCAGTCGCTCCGCGTGCCCGCCTACTTCACCGAGTGCAGCGAGTACAGCTGCGCCGTGGACGAGGCCGCCGTGTCGATGGCCACGGGGGGCAGCGCCAGCGCCCCGCAGATCAACCCCTTCCGCTCCCCCTTCCGGCAGGCCGGCATCGACAACGCCATGCCCTGGTGGGTGCCCCGCGGGACCGCGGACGCCCCCTCGGCCCCTCGACGGCGGCCACGCCTGCGCCCTCCGGCCGCCGCGGGCGAGGGGCTGCGGGGGCGCCGGTGCCGTCCGGCGCGCAGGGCAGTC